CATGTCAGACCAACCTGGTGGCCTTCTATGATCAGGTCACTAAATCATTGGATGCAGGGGTAGTAGTGGATATAGTCTTCCTGGACTTCCGGAAGGCTTTCGACACTGTCTCTCACCCCCATTCTCATTGTTCAACTCTCCCTTCAATATTTTAGAGAAAGCATGAAAAAAATGTAGTGACTATAGACATATATTAAAAAGAAAACCTAAAATTATATAAATATGAAGGAAACAAAGAAGGGAAGAAAGAATATATGAGGGACAGATTTGCATGTCAAAAATTCATTAGAAAATACTCAAGGATCAGAACTTTAAGCTTACTTGACACAAGCCGCTAATGCACATATCCAGTGATTCAGTATAGCATCGCGTTCCATCGAGAACCTTTGGCGCCAGTTCTACAACCAGAGCTGTTCCTTTAGCCTGGCACTTCAGTGAACATGGGTTGTCAGGATCATTAGAGATTGGAAGCCATTCATAAAACTGTCCCTGGTACTTGACATCATTATGAGCAGAGCACTGCTGGGCACGAAAATCTCCTGCTTCTGGAGGGCAGTTCTGATGAGGAGAAAGGGAGAAAAAGAAAAAGGTTAGGCAGTCTGTCCAAGAAGGCTCAGTACTTCATGCTGTACAGTGAAGAAGAAACCTTAGCATAGGCACTTCTTTTCAGTTAGAGAAACATACTGGTCAAAATATAGACATGTTCACCAATGGGGCCATCTTAAATACAGAAAAATCAGCTGACTACTGTGCTTTCAGGGATTACTGCAGCAGTACTGGTAACATTACAAAATAATTTCCAGCATAAGAAACACATTTGCTTGCCCTATTCATCATATTTGACAGTCCTGAAACACTCCTAGGACGTGTCCACACATGCAAGCACATGTGCTTACAGCAGCTCAAATAGAAGCGGTATAAATTTGAGGCAGGGCTTTTTGCCTCAGCACCCATGCCCAGACATCCACTTTGTTGTTGTTCAAATTGTGCCACTTAGGGCAAAATAACCCTGCCTGGCTCCTCCTGGATCTGCAGCCAGGGGGAGCTAGAGCCTGGAGCCAGTACCTGTGCTATCCCCAGCATATGAAAACCTGCCCAGGCCAGCAGCTCAGGGCTACTTGCCCTCAGGAGCTTCTGAGGGAGGAGCCTCTGGGAGGGAGTTGGCCATGCCCCTTCCTGTCCCAGGTTGTTGCTATTGCTTCAAACTTGGTCTCAGGAGCTTCTGAGGAGAGGATGGCCAGGCCCCTTTCTGCTGCTGGCTGCTGCTAGCTTGTTCTCAGAGCTTTTGGGGGCAAGCTGGCTGCACCCTTTCTTGCCTTGGGCTGCTGCTGTTGCTGCCCCCCCCCGGGGGGGGGGGGGTGTCCTCTGCTGCACGCTGCTACCTCCTCTTAGGGAAGGGCCCACCGCACTCCAGCACTGCACCCCAGCAACATACTCTATCTTCTGCACTCCTGTTCCAGCATGCTGCCCAGCCTGCCGCCAAGCTGTGGTTGGGAGACAGCCTCAGGAGGCAGCCTGCACTGCCTGTGGGCCCCTCCCCCACCATCACTGCCAGAGCCTAAAGGTGCCTTGCCTGCCCCAGCTGCCTTGGCAGGCCAACCCCCACCTTCACCTCCATTTTCACGAGAAGCACACCCTGAGTGGCTGAACTAGATGGCTCCTACCATCACTGTTGCTGTTGCTGCCCCCTGTTCTGCTGCTGCCCCATCTCAGGAGAGAGGGAGATTCCCTACTGCACCACCTTGCACCACTCAACACCACACCTGCACTGGATTACTCCCTAATACACTGATTGCTTTTGCCCTTCCACACAGCTGCTTCACTGCATCTGATCCTGCTTTGTTTCCCTGCCTGGTGCCCTGCTGCTGAGTGCCTAGCAGGAGGCCTGAGTGGCTCTTGGACTGAACTCCAACAAAAAAAAACCCTCCACTGCTCCAGCCATCTTTTACATCTGCCTCAGCAGCCTTCCCTATGTGCTTTTCCCCTTGTGTGGTAAGTCCTGTAGTCCATTCCCCCTGCCCTGGTGTTCATTGTGTGGCTGAGTAAGCCAGCTCGAGTTTTCCCAGCCCGTGTGTGTGTGTGCGTTCCCCCTCCCCCGCATTCCCCAAGCATAGCCCTCCCAGCTTTTTTCCTGTGGGGAAAGGGAAGGGCTCCACCCCCAAGCCTAGACCACCAGTGCCTGAAGGAACCAGGTGCGCCACACCAACTGGCACACCCACTCAGCCTGTCCCTGACCCTAGCCCTGGCCTCACCAATGCAGAGGGGAAACCACAGCTATGTACAGGCAGCTGCAGGGTGACCCACAGCTGCGAGGCCTGAACACTCCACCACTGGTCCTTCTAGCTCAGGCAACAGGGCCCCCTTTCCAGCACTTCCCATAGGCATGAGGTAAAGCGCCAACTGCCCAGGCAGGAGAACCTGCATTTTGAAACCTGGGTGCAGGCCCTGGCTCAGCTAGTGGGGGCCCCCAAGATCATGGTGGCCTCCCACTTTCATGGCAAGGGGGTCTTTTTCCTTGCCTCGGAGGCTGCCGCACAAAAGGCGGTGGGGAGGGGGCTCATGGTGGAGAGCGAGTACATCCCCCTCGAGCCCCTAGAAGAGCTGGGGACCAGAGTGGTTCTCAGCTCTGTCGTACCTTATATCCCCAATTGGGCCCTGCTCCCCCATCTCCAAACCCTGGGGAGAGTTATGTCCCTGGTGGTGGCCCTCTCGCTGGGGTGCTGAGACCCCAGGCTGTGCCACGTGCTCTCATTCTCATTCTGTCATCAGGTCGTGATCCAGCTGGTGGCGGGAGCACAGCTAGAGGCCAAGGGCAGCCTCATAATTCCTTTTCAGGGGACCCCAGTGAGGATTTTCTATATGCTGGGGGACCTGCAGTGCTTCCAGTGCCATGCCCTTGCATCATGAGTGTCCCATGGGTCAGGCGGGGAGGGCATCCACAGGTCCCACTGGCAAAAGGAGTACCCCTACCACCAGTGCCCCTCCCCACTCGGGTCCCCTGGCACCCCAGCCAAAACTAGCAGCCCCACTTTGAGGTCAGGGGACTGCGCCCCCCAACCAAGTTTGGCGGAGTCCTGGGGAGGAGGGAAGCAGCCGGGGGAGGAGAGGGAGAGGGACCCCCCTGCCCCCAGCTTTGTCCCCGCTGGAACTGCCCCACTGCCCCAACACTCACCTTCTGCTGAAGCCTGTCCACCTGAGGACCACCCCAGGGACAGGAGGACGAAGGACAGGCCCTCCCAGCACAATAGCTCCAGCAGGTCCCAAACCAGGTATAGGTTGTCAAAGATGGAATGTCCAGGCACCGTGTACATCTGGGATGTATCACAAGGAGAGGGTGGAGGAGAGGGACAAGCTGCAACTAGATCTAGACAGGTTATAGGGGTGGGCGGATGAGAACAGGATGGGATTCAATACGGACAAGTGCAAGGTACTGCACCTGGGGAGGAAGAGATAGCACCATACCTACAGGCTGGGGAACTCCCTTCTTGTCAGTGCAGAGGCAGAGAAGGATCTTGGTGTCTTTATTGATTCCAAAATGAACATGGGCCGCCAATGTGGGGACGCGGGCAGAAAGGCTAACCGCACCTTGTCATGCATTCACAGATGCATCACGAGCAGGTCCAAGGAGGTGATCCTCTCCCTCTATGTGACACTGGTCAGGCCGCAGTTGGAGTACTGCGTCCAGTTCTGGGTACCCCACTTCAGGAGAGATGTGGACAGCATTGAGAGGGTCCAGAGGAGGGCCACTCACATGATTGGGGGCAGCAAGGCAGGCCCTACGACCGGAGGCTGAGACCTGAACCTGTTCAGCCTCCACAAGAGAAGGCTGAGAGGAGCTCTGGTGGCCATCTACAAACTGGCCAAGGGGAACCAGCAGGCTATGGGAGAGTCCCTGTTCCCCTGAGCACTACCAGGAGTAACAAGCAATAACGGTCATAAATTGACCGAGAGTAGATTCAGGCTAGATATCAGGAGGCACTACTTCACAGTCAGGGTGGCTAGGATCTGGAACCAACTTCCAAGGGAAGTGGTGCTCGCTTCTACCCTGAAGGTCTTCAAAAGGAGGCTAGATAATCACCTAGCCAGGGTCATTTGACCCAGCATTCTTTCCTGCCCATGGCAGGGGGTCAGACTTGATGATCTGATCAGGTCCCTTCCGACCCTACCTACGTCTCTCCACATGGACTGTAGGCACAGTGAGATGGCTTTCGCTGCCACCATGGGGTGGAAAGCAGTGACTGCCTGCAGGTGCCACTGACAGTGTCGGCAGTGCCTTTTCTGAGGGGGTGCACCCCCTACACATCGCCAGTTGTCCCCTGACCCCCACAGGGCAGAGCCCCCCCAACAGCACATGGACTACACTACCTGTAGGGTCCCATCCCCCTCCAGGGGCTACAGCTCCCCACAACCCCTTCAGTGGTCTCCAGCCCCCTGCTCATTCCCCTGCTCCTCTCCAGCCTCTGGAGGCTGGAGAGGAGCAGGAGAACAAGCAGGAGGCTGGAAATAATAAGATAACAAGCAGGAGGCTCATTCCCGTGATCCCCGTTCATTCTCCCAACTCCTCCCCCCCCCCCCCCC